TTAACTTAAACTTTTTAAATTTTTCATCAAATCATATTTTTATACGTATTTCTGATAATCTAAATCTTTTTGACTAAATTAATTAGATGGAAACCGCTGAAATTTAAGAAAATAACTTTTAATAGACCGATCTGGTACAAAATAGTTTACCTGTCGTCTGAACAGGTAAATAACAGCTGTCAGAGAACTAATTAACCTTGATTGTAATGAGAGGGTATGAAGGTAGGGTTTGTTTTGATAGTAATTATTCATCATGTCACTTTTATGACTGGAAATGTGTGGCTGTTTAATGCAAAAGGTCAGGTCAAAAAGATTGCATAAACTTCAATTTTTTTCTCTGAATTGTGTTAAAATGGCAAACCCACGTTATATGTCTGTTTCATTCTCGGCACAACAAGTCATATATTTAATTTATCGATCAAGTCCGGACAATACGACTGTTTTGGAAGCCCTGGTCATGACTTAGGAAATTTATTTTTGAATGGCTGGTTTATGACTTAAGCTGACAACAAATTTACATTTGCCACTTTAGTATAATCAAGAAAAAAGTCTAGGTTTTGGCCATCTTTACCTGACATTTCCCTATCACAACACATTTTTCCTGTTATAAAAAGTGACATGAGGAATAATTACTATAAAACAAGTCCTAATTGAATGGGCATATTGCATTTCCGCTAATTTTTCAAAGTTCCAATAGTACGTTTCCGGAAACTTAAAGTATACATTTCCAGAAATTGTATTTATTACTTTTCCGGAAATTTACTTGGTAGTAAATTATTAATATTTGAATATATGTTAGATAAATTATTCATTTCATATTTTTATACAAAAAAGGTTCTGATCTTATATCTACAATATACTAGATATAAAAAAAATGAAAGTTTCACCTTAGTGAAAGATGATGATGTTGGAATTTTTATATTTTTATGTTTCACAAACTTGAAATGTCTATGATCATCTATGCAATGAAATAACTAATATTTTCATAGATGGCACAGTTAATTATTCAATACATGGGTGTAAAAGGGTAACTACATTCCTCTTGTGTTTGCGCTACTTTTGCTTTTATCAAAATGTGGGATCTGCTTATTGATGTGTGCACTTCCCGAAGACTAACTCTCCAGTCCGAGGTAGATCATATTGACTTTGAATGTACAATGCATACTGCTGTTACAAAAATTTCATGCTGCTACAATCAGTTGTTGCAGGTTTCATTTAGGACAAAGTTCAAGGTACTCCTTTAACTGGCCACCCGCTGATTGATACTTCGACACAAACGGAGTTTGGTAGATAAGATTGAAACAACAGCAGGGGTCCAGATAAGATACTCCTTACTTATTTTCTCAAAAAAGTAATAATTTATTTTTTCCGGAATCGTTACTATTTTCTCGGAAAAGTAAGGTATTTATTTCCGGAAACGTAGACTTTTTTTTGCGGAAACGTCATCTTTTTTTCCCGGAAAAGTAATGCCAATTTGCGGAAACGTAAAACGCCGAATTGAATACCCCTCACCAAAAGGGTACGTCTAAACACTGCTCAGGACATACAAAGTGAACTCAGGACCCTTTATAGGCATCGTATTTGCACACAGGATGGCTGTATATATTCGTTACATGCTACTTATTTAAGAGTTAAATTTTGGTAGAATTTGAAATCGAACTTAGATAGATATGTCAATTCTTATAAAATAATGAGGGCACGTGTCACTGATTACACAACTACTGAGCCGTGAATTATTCAATCAACAAAATTGATTGGATTATCTTTATTGTTGTTTATGAATTGTGTTGTTAGTACAGTGTTACGTTTAAAATTAATAACACGATGTTTTAAGTTTTTAGGGATTGTTTAATGTAGTTAAATTTAAATTATGCATAGTAAATTTTACGTTTATGGAGAAAAAAATTTAAAATAAAATTTCTTTGGATACCTATGGATCTTCAGAGCGCTGGTACTGTCGTACCATTATATTCTGCTCTACTTCATCATTGTTGTATTTAATTGTATTTAAATTATCATATTTGGGTATTATTTCGATGTTCTTTTTCAGTTTATTTTTCATGATGACGGCTAAATTAATTTTGTTGTGGTCTGCAGTTCATGCATAAAGAAAATAAAAAAATCGTGTTATTTTATAGTTGCCGTTTTTTCTGTTACAAGTTCGATTTTTGTTTTTCTTTGGGATTTTTTTTCTCTCTCTCTCTCCAAATCAACTTAATAAACAAAAACAATGTTTACTGAATATCAAATTTTATTGAATTTGTATATCTTTATTCTCAATAAACCATATACATAGGTATAGAGAAGACAATTATGTACAATATTTACAATGAAAATATTTAGATGAATTTATTTATATGATTTGGTAAGTCTAATATCTTGGCTGCGTACATGCTGCCCTTGGTCTTTTTCTTTGGTTTGGCTTACGAGCAAGTTTCTGGGGTTTTGGCACTTCAAAATATGTGCACGAAGACTTAGTCGTGGTTTGAACGAATTTTGTGTCACTCAACAGTCTCCGAAATAGTCTTTCTCGCTGTTCTTTTGTTTTCGAAAACCAACATTGAAATGATACATCATGTTTTCTGTACGGACCGAAATGTTCATAATTTTTTTTTACAGTAAAATACCAAAATATGATAAATGGCGAGAGTTCAATATACGATAGCACTTATTTAGGACAGTAAACTGACAAAAACAAACATGGGAAGAACCGAGAAACAAAATTAAATATTTTTTTCATTTGTTTTACAATAAAAAAATCTTTTTTTTTTTAATTTAGTTTAGAATCATACTACAATCTTGCTTACAAAATGTTTAGAAATAATACCCAAATATGATAATTTTCAGAAAACGGAGACAAATTCATTTTTTTCAGAATTTATTTACACATTGAAATTCGTTCTAGGCTTGTATTACTGCATGGACAAGAACGATTTAAATGAGAAATAAAATCTTACTAAATGCTGATTGGTTAAACATTCGTATTACTCAGAAATAAAATTTAGACATTTTCTTTTCACTGTTTTACAACAAATCATTCTTCAGAATTTACTATTACATTAAAACTGCTCAAGGAATCTTAATACTGGACAAGAACGAGCTCAATGTAAAACCAAATCTTACTACATGAAATAATTGCCACATTTTGCAATAATTTATATCTATATTTTTGAACATTTTCAAATGAAATGAATTGAATTAAAATTTCCCAACTATATGTAGATTTCTCATATTTCTCAAATGGCTTCAATTATTACAAACAAAACGAAAAGTTTATTTAACATTTTTTTCTAAAACAATATATCTTCATTGTTTATTTTTCAAAAGACATCTTGGTTTTGTTTGTTTGCCAAGCTTACTTGTATGAGGTTAGTACCATTACTAATCACTCCTAGTTATTAAAGATCAAACGACCTAATCAACATGATAATTGATATTCAATATAATCATCGGTCATGCCTGACATATTTCATAAAATCGGCGCGTGCCAATGAAAACTTCAATAACTTCTTAAATATTAAATTGATTTTATCAAAACAGAAATTATAAGATGGAGAATTAAATTATCTATCGAATGCATACCTTCACTACTCACTAAAACAACTATTTCATGTCCTGAGTGCACTTTGTATGTCCTGAGTGCACTCAGGAGGTCCTGAGCAGTGTTTAGACGTACCGTCACCAAAATAGTTATTACTATGAGGGTTAATTTGTAGATTGACAGCTAAGATTTACCTGTTGGCCTGACAGGTAAACTATAAAGTACTGGACATTAATCAATTAATATGAAATTGATTCTCATAGTTAATTGTTTGCATCTAAATAATTTTATCAATAAATTATTTATTATATAAAAAAAAAATTATTTAGAATTATTGAGTAATAAAATTTAAAAGGTTTAAGAGAAAAAAAAATCAAAAGAACCACGTCAACATAAGTACAATTCAGTGTATTGTGTACATGTGTGAAATTTAATTTTTTATCCAAAAGCACTCAAAATAATGAAAAGTATTATTTATACAATGTATTTACTTGAAGAAATAAAATAGAGAATTTAAGATAATTTAGAATTAATCTCATTGTTGCTTGACAAAATTACACGGTAGCTTTTGACTTTAAAGTAGTAACAGAAGTCATATTACAGTATGATATAGTAATAATGAAAAAAAGAGATGTGGTATGATTGTTGCATAAGACAACAGTCCACAGAAGATCAAAGGACCAGGATAGGAATAGCTTAATGTCACTGTATGACCACCATAATGTATATGAAATGTAGGGAAAATATAAAAACTTCAAAATAAAAAGACCCCTGTTTATTGACAATTATCCACATTTGTTATTCATAACAATATTTTTTTGCCCATTTATGTAGCACAATTTCTTCCCTTTTAGGTCAGATTTTTTATCAATTTTTCCTCTTTAGTAAGTCAGATTGACTTGTTTTTCTCATTGAATGGTGGTTTTGAACCAAGCTCAGTAGTCGGAAAAAGTGATTTAATAGAAAAACAAAGTATATGGGGTATCCATCCATGACACAAAATCGGTACATGAACAGCAAAGTCACATAAAAAGCAAAGGAACAGTGTTTGATTGCTGTTTTTCATCTTGAAGTCACAGTGAGTCCTTCAACATGGAGCAAAACAACTCTCACCACACTGCAAGGTTAAGACGGCCCCTAGCATCGGCTTGAGTGGCTAAAATAATTAGGATAGATGTAAGACCTAACACCACCAAATCTGATCTGGTCAAGAAGAACATACTGTTACTGGAAATTAGAACATATTTAAAACAAAGTAGTTCCTACGCATAGGTGTAAATATCAAACTATGTAGTTTGTCTTGTGCAATAAACCTGAAATATCTGGTGGCATGATTGGTTGCTCATTTATTATTATGCTGAAGTTTTGTGTTGAAATTTAAAATTCTAGAGCTGAGGAATATAATTCACTGGCACTATAAGGGGAATCATTTACAAAAATTATTTATTTTTACTTAAAGCAAATGATACAAGCCACCAGAAGTACAACTCCACCTCGAACCAGGACCAGACAGAGAGGAAGCAGACGACAAAGAAACTCTAACAGTCTTGAAGCTCTAAGTATATATGTTTACCTTTCCATAGCTGGTTTATTTGCAACACCACCCTAATATAGTGGATTCATTTATTTATCGTGGGTTGAGGAAAGCTCGATTTTTGGGGGATATTGGATTTCATGGTTTGCCAAAGTGTGCATACAAGCCTATAGAAAATTTGTAATTCATTGAACTATTAAATTTGTGTTCGACCTGTACCCATGAATTTTACAGAAATTGGAATCCATCGAATAATAATGAATCTACAGTTGTGTAATGAACACCCCTGAATTCAGAATGTTCTGTAGGGATTTTTTTTTTAAATGTAACAATGGTTTGATCCATCCACAATGTTGTTATTTATTTTGTCTATGAATGCAACTACAATTTTCTACCATAAATGGGAACTGCATTTTGAGGGGAAAAATACCAATTTTCTCTTTAGAAACCTTACTTTTTGTTAAAATAAAATAATTTGTGTTGCACATATAAAATTTGTGTTCATATAATGCATGTCAGTAATGGTGTTTTCAAGTCTTGTTTATGTAGCTTTTGATAGTTATTGTTTATTTAAAAAAACAGTTTGGAGAAAGTCATATAAAGCTTGCTATACATAAAAGTGTTCATTATAATCTCACCAAACTTCTATTTTATGAGTAAGACACTTAACAAATTAAGTTGACAATAAATCCTTTGAAATTTGTTTTCGATACTTTTAGGTAGGATTGAAGTGCTTTGATATCCTTTCTTTGCAATATGTTATGCATGCTGATATTTTTGACAATAAGTAAAGATGCAGGTGTCATCATACAGTCCATAAAATGGCATGATAACTATTCTTTGTAAATGTTCTCTGTTTTCATACATAAAGGAATGGTATGTTCATTCTTTATTAAATTTTTTTATGGTTGCAGGTAGAATGGAAGCACACTTGATGTCTATTCTTGATGACTATGGTACATCTCCTGTAAGTTTACTTAATTTGTATACCCCTACTTATATGAGGTGGGGTCTTGTATCAGGTGTGTATAGTGATGCACATGTCTGTGTATACAGGGTTAACATGTTTTCTCCAGGGGGCATCTGGGCCCCCCCAAATATCTTTTTCAGGGGCCCAAGCAATTTGTATACTTAAAAAAAACTTAAATGTACTTTTCATATACATGTACAATGTACTAATAAAATCTTTTTAGGTAATCCTATATGTAGCTTACGAGTCTGTTAAAGATTATGTGTGATAACTTTATAATATTTGAATTATTGCCACCAGAAGATTTGATAATACTGATTTAAGTACATTTCCCACCAAAATTATCTCCTTTCAATTTGAAATTCCTGTTGACATTTTGACAAAATGGCTGTTTCTATGAATCATTCAATGCTATTTCAAATCCAAGCCATCCAAAGTGTTGATTAAAAATATTATTCAATTTCTTTTTATTGAAGATTGGATAGCAAACTAGATGTTTTAATATTTATTTACGAGAATTTGCATTTCGTTTTTTCATTGATGATTTTGTAAATAGCGATGCATGGACAAGGTATCATCATATACAGCTTGTAATGACTCCCTGGACAACTGGAATGGATCTCTGAAGCAATGCAGATTCAACAGTTTTGACAAAAACACTAAACAATAATGAAATAATTGTAGAAGCTTTAAAAGAGAGATAAGAACACGTGTTTAGAGAAGGGGTATATGTCAAATAGGACCGCATCGAAAACTAGTTGTCAGACTGGGTTTTGGTTAATAAAAAGAACAAAGTGGTTTCTGGAAATTCTCACTTTCAATTTTCAAGCTTTGATTAGACAATCAGATTTCCATTTTGGAACAGTTTTTGTTCATACTGTGGGGGAAAGGGTAGAAATGGTATTCACTGCAAAATATTTTACAGGTGCCAGCTGGGCAATTAGGATGATAAAACATATTTGCACAGCTGAAAATCTGGTCGCCTTGGGCCAAGGCAACTGGGTGACCGTTAAGTTTAGTCCCTGGTATATAAGAAAAAGAAGGTGTATTATTGCCAGTGATAGAACTCTCCACCAGAGACAAAATGATGTAAGAGATATCTACTATAGGTCACCATGCGGCCTTCAACAATGAGCAAAAACACAAACTCCATAGCATGCTATAAAAGGCCCAAAAATGACAAATGTAAAACAATTCAAATGAGAAAACTAACAGCCTGATTTATGTACAACATTGTACAAAAAAATGAATGAAAATAAAACAAATATAAACAGCAACAAATGATATTCATTGAATTACAGGATCCTGACTTGGGACAGGCACATACAGAATGTGGCAAGGTTAAACATGTTTCCCCCTAGCAATGTCTTACTCTGGTTTTCATGTGATTAATAGAGGATCACTTTTCAAAATGGATTGAAATTTATTGATTGTTTTTGCCAACTAAACACATATTAAGTTTGTTCATTTTTACCATTTACTGTTCCAGATGTTGTTTATTTTTGGCAAAATTCAAAATATTGTTATTTTCTAGATGATAACTGGAAAACTATTTGACGAAACCCTTGCAATTTCCAGTGCAATTTTCATCCGGTTTCACTCTAAATAATTCCAAAGAGTTGCAACCATATTTGCAATATCTAGAAATGAATAGATTATTTGGAAATTTCTCAGTTTTACTAAAACCATTATTCAGATTTGAGGCCTAAATATTTAGCAAAATATAAAAATAAGTAGATTTAGTAGGTTGAACTTACTTTCAGAGGTTACAGAAATGCAAAAACCAACCTGAGTTGTAATCCTGATCTCTTGTTGAAAATGTGTTAGAAAAATATTTCTGGATAACTGCTCATTTTGTTGTCCCCCGCGCAACACATTGCAGGGGGACATAGAAATACCAGGCATCTGTCTGTTCATCCCTCCAGTCTTGTTAGCGCTCTCACGTGTACAGTTCTTGCAAGATTTTAATGAAATTTATATTATAGGTTTATATCATCAATGTCTCAAACAAATTTGAAAATCAGTGTCGATCAATTATTTTTAAAAAAGTTATGTCCCTTGGAAATATTGATTATATGGAAAATTGCATTGTTAACACTCTCATGTGTACAAATTCTTGCCAGAATTTTATGAAACTCATATCATTATGATTTATATCAGCAATGTCTTTGACACTTTCTAAAATAAGTACTGATCAAATATTTTTAATGAGTTATGCCCCTTGGAAAAATTAATTATAACGGAGATCGCATTGCATTTGCTCTGACGCCTTCATTTCTCTAAGATATTTATAAATTGTTTTAAAGAACAAAAAAAAAAAGGTGTTTTTTAGTTATTGCCCTTGTATCTTTGATAGATAAAATATGTGCAACAAGGGGGACATTGGAACTCTGTTCTTTGTTGAGAGTAGATATAGCAGAAATGTTCTGTGTGAAACTAAAACTGGAATTTATATTTGTCATACAATATAAGTAAGTTTGTGTATTTGGTGTATATTTTTCAGGTCAGAGGTCAGAACAGACGAGGACGTCGTTTCTTCCCAGCATTCAATGTGTCTGCATCTGAAGGACAGGATTATGAGGTTAGTACAATACTCTGTTGGTTATTCTTTGATAATGGTAATTGGTCAGTAATTTTAAGGGATTTTTATCACTTGTGATTTATTTTTATTTTGGCAAAAGGCCAATTATTTTACCCTTGTCTGTCTGTGTCTGATAACTACATGAGGTAAATAGTTTGTTCATCTTTCACTCCCTACACTTTACCAGCTAGCACTTTTATTTTATGCAGGATATAAGAACATAAACTTAGGCTGTGCATATATCAAAGACTTTGATTTTTTCTAATTTTCAACAAATGACAGATTGTTGAAACTTTGTCATTTTTGTCTCTCCTGCAAAGAAAGCGACAACTGTGGCAATGGCGTCAACAATTGTTAAGTTTTCAGCTTAAGTTAGTTTGATAAGAACTACTTGGGATAGATCATTGATATTTAATATAAAGTTGCATTACTATCAGTACACATCAGTTTGACAACTATTTCAAGGTCCTGCCCCCTAGATCATGGTCCAGCAACTTTGATTTAACTAGCAATTTTCAATGTTAATTTTTCTGTCTAAGTCAGTTTGATAAGAACTGTCTGTGACAGATCAATGATATTTTGTATAAAGTTGCATTACTATCAGTACATCTCAGCTTGCCAACCATTTATAGGCCCTGCCCACAAGATCATGGTCCAGCGACTTTGAATAAATAAGCAATGTTGCTGTCCATCAGATTGTCTTTTTTTGAATTTCATGAGGACAGGAGAGACATATCTCTATGTCAACAGTTTATTTGGTAATATTTTTGTTTATGTTCAGTTGGGTACATGGTTTGTCCACTTAATCCTCCTATAGCTTTCAAGCTAGAACTTTAATATTATGCATATTGTTTGTATTTATACTTGTGTATGCATATTAATTATTTTAAGGTTCCTTTTTTGTCTCGCCTTGACGGAGTCAAAAAGCGAGACATAGGTATGCTGTTTCCGGCGGCAGCGACGGCGGCGGCATCAACAATGTATTAGTTTGTGATTAGGTCTAGTTCATGGTGAACCGCTAGTGGTAGGTCAATGATATTTGGTATGCAGTTGTATTAGCATTGGCACATCTCATTACCATGGAGATTATTTGGCCCCGCCCCCTCAGTCAAGGTCTATTGACTTTGAAACTTTTCATAGTTTACATGTATTAGTTTGTGATTAGGTCAATTTATGGGGAACCACTAGTGGTAGGTCAAGGATATTTGGTATGCAGTTGTATAAGCATTGGCATATCTCATTTCCATGGAGATTATTTGGCTCCGCCCCCTTAGTCATGGTCTATAGACTTTGAAAATTTTGCTAAGTTAACATGTATAAGTTTGTGATTAGGTCAGTTCAAGGGGAACCATTAGTAGTAGGCCAATGTTAATTGGTGTTCAGTTGTATAAGCATTAGCACATCTCATTTCCATGGAGAATATTTGGCCCCGTCCCCTCAGTCATGGTCTATTGACTTTGAAACTTTTGCTAAGTTTACATGTATTAGTTTGTGATTAGATCAGTTTAAGATGAACTGCTAATGTTAAGTCAATGATATTTGGTATGCAAATGTATTGGCATTTGCAAGTCTCTTTTCCATGGAGATTATATAGCCCCAACCCTAATCATGGTTCATTGACTTTGAAACTTTTACATAGTTTACAAGTTAATGTTTGTGTTTAGGTTTTTTTAAAGTGAATGATAAGTCAATGGTATTTGGTATGCAGTTGTATTAGCATTGGCACATCTCATTCCATGGAGATTGTTTAGCCATGTACCTTCAGTCATGGTTCATCGACTTTGAATATTTGCATAACTTACATGTTAAAGTATTGCTATTTTAATTTCAACATTTGCATTATCAAAATTACAAAAAGGCGAGACATATCTCTGTGATAACAGTTTATCTTGAAATTATCCATGAATGAAGGATGTTGAAAGTAACATAAACTGCCAATTCAGTACACTTTAAATAATCAAACTCTTGTTGTTGTTTCCCATTTATATGAATAAAAAAGAAAACAAATTATTGGTTGACTTCACATCCCCTATTTAAAAGTTTTGAGAGAATGAAGTCTTTAGCAGAAATATTGTCTTCCAGTATAGTAGTTAAACACATTCCCCTTTTAAATGTTATAAAAGAATGAAGTATTTATCATACACATTGTATTCCTGCACAGTAATTAGACAAGCAGTTCATATCCATATGACCTTTGATTTGAACCCATTTGATATGTAACTACACATGCACAGTTACGGATGTAGAAAAAATGTCATAAATGAACAAAAGTCTTGCATGCATTTTAAATTAGAATGTTATTTTCATAAATTGAAATAATAAAAATAATATATTCAAAAATTAGATAACTTCGTAAGAATATTGTAATTCATTTAAATTGCAAGCACATTCTTCATTATAAATAAGAAAATGTGGTATGAGTGCCAATGAGACAACGCTCCATCCAAGTGACAATGTATAAAAAGTTAACAACTATAGGTCAAAGTATGGCCTTCAACACGGAGCCTTGGCTCACACTGAACAACAAACTATAAAGGGCCCCAAAATGACTAGTGTAATACAATGTCTTGATTATTGAGTCAACCTCGTTTGTGTTATCAATGCTTGGTACTGCTAGGCTGTGATGATTATTTGTACCTTCATGTTTAAAAATTCCAGTGATTGAACTATTCTATACTTAAAAAGGTAATTTTGTTTTTATTATTAAGGAGTTGCTTAATCTGGCTGAAATGCTGGGTGATGTTAAACCACGAGGTTTGACTAAAAACCAAGTAACCAAACTACCTGAGAGGAAGTACCAGGTGTGTCCTGGAGAGGAAGTTAAGGAATGTCTTGTCTGTATGTGTGAATTTGAGGATAAGGATCAGCTTAGAATCCTGCCTTGCTTTCATGAATTCCATACTCCATGCATAGATAAATGGATTGGTGTAAGTTAATTTGATTTTTCATTGACCCAAAGGCAGCTTGAGCTATAACAATAACTTCATATTGTTTGCATGTCATTAAATTCTTCAAAAACCTTCTTGTCTTACAAAGCAGAACCAAACTTAAGAATTAATTTCAATACAGAAAAAATAAGGGTGATTGATACATGAAAACCTACACCAAAGTCATAGTGAAATGTTTTGAACGTCTGCTTTACACTGTGCTGTTACGTACTTGAATACACATCTAGTATGAACAATATCAAAAAGTAATGAAACATTTGAAAAAGAAATACTGTTTATATTTCCAGTCTTTTAATGAACCAGTCAGTTGTTACTTTATCCTTTAATATGTACTACAACATGTAATAACAAACTAATGATTTTTTGTCTCACCTTGACAGAGTTAAAAAACGAGACATAGGTATGCGGTTCCAGCATCTGCAACATCAACAATGTATTAGTTTGTGATAAGGTCAGTTCATGGGGAATCACTAGTGGTAGGTCAATGATATTTGGTATGCAGCTGTATTGGCGTTGGCACATCTCATTTCTATGGAGATTATTTGGTCTATTGACTTTGAAACCTTTGCTTGGTTTACATGTATTCGTTTGTGATTAGGTCAATTTATGAGGAACCACTTGTGGTAGGTCAATGATATTTGGTATGCAGCTGTATTAGCATTGGCACATCTCATTTCTATGGAGATTATTTGGTCTATTACCTTTGAAACCTTTGCTTGGTTTACATGTATTCGTTTGTGATTAGGTCAATTTATGAGGAACCACTTGTGGTAGGTCAATGATATTTGGTATGCAGTTGTATTAGCATTGCATAACTTAGATGTTAAAAGTATTGCTATTTTAAAATTCAACATTTGCATCATACTATCAAATTGATGAAAAGGTGAGACATATCTCTGTGTTATCAGTTTATTTTTCATATGTGTTAAAAATCACATCATAAGTCAAGACACAGATGTATAAACCTGATGTGAACAAAAACTTTGTTAAAACCTTTAATTTCTTTTTTTTTCTAGGTAAATGCTACATGTCCAGTTTGCAGAGTAGTGGTGAATGTTTGAATGTGTTCAGATAAGGAGAATGTGCAATGATGGAATACAATAATCTGTATATAAGTGTGTTACTTTACATGTCACAAGAAGTTCAAATAGACACAATATCAAGTCATTACATATTCCTTTGTATTTTTTTTTTAAATGTGATGCTAGACAAATGTATAGTAGAGTAATCACACATCCATGTTTAAATCTCCTATTTTTGTTACATCTCAATCATTTGAAATGCATCCTTCGAGGGGTACACAATTCTTCCAAATCACCATGAAAGACTAAATGATTGTATACTATTGTTATAAAAGATAGTATATACATAAATGTTCATTTAGTACTATTATTTGAGGAATTTTACAGAAGGATGAATATGATTGAATTCCTGAAAACATGGAAAACATGGAGCATGTTCAAAATATTTTTGAACCAAAAAAGTACAACAGAAAAAAGTACCAACTGGAAATAAAGTAATAGTACAATTCAGTACTGTAGAATTGCAGTTCAATAGTTTGCTAGTAAAAGTACTACAGTGGTTTGCTTCCTTTACAGTACTTCAAAGTTGGTGCACTTAAGTAGTACATGTAGAAAAATATCTGTGTACTTGTTACAGTATTTACCATTTAAAAAGGAAATAACCTGTCATTAGCAATAACTCAAGTGAAGAATGTTTTATTTATGTAGTGAATGAACTTGATAGTTTTTATACGCCCATTTACGGGACGTATTATGGTATACTGTTGTCCGTCTGTATGTCCGTCCGTCTGTCGTCAACATGTCAGACAATAACTCAAAAACGCTTTAACCAATTTGCATGAAACTTTGGTGAATTATTTATATCTATTGATGTGAGCTCCCTTTAGATTTTTATAAATTTTAGATTTTGTTTTTCCGAGTTATGAGGTTTTATTCATTAAAACAAGGGGATTTTCCAGTTTTCAGACAATAACTCAGAAACACTTTCGCCAATTTGCAAGAAAAGTTATGGGGTTTTATTCATTAAAAAGGGGGGATTTTCCAGTTTTCCCAAAAATAACTCAAAAATGCTTTGAGCAGTTTTCATGAAACTTTGGTGAATTGTTTATATCTATTGATGTAAGCTCTCTTTCAATTTTTAAAAATTCTAGATTTTATGTTTCCGAGTTATGGGATTTTATTCATAAAAAAGGGTTGATTTTCCTGTTTTCTGACAATACATGCAATACCTTTAAAGTGCTTCGAGCAGATTTCATGAAACTATGGTGATTGGTTGATATCTATTAAAATACCTCCCTTTAGTTTATTATAAATTTCTGAAAAGACATTAAGAAGTTATTGAACTTTACTCTTTAAAAAAGTGACGGTCGTATCATGCGCTCATGGCGCAGCTGTTTATTAGGTATCTGCAACTTTTAGATATCATGTGCATCTCTCTTGTAAAATATTTTTGGTGAAAATTTTGAGACATTTTTCAAACAGTTATAAAAACATTTTGTACTCAATATTTATATCAAGTGATATTCAGAACTCTGAACTGTGATTCAGTTAACTTATGTTATATTCCAAAAGATAACTGACAAAACAAAACAGAATTTCTGTCATGCATTTTTACATGGCCTGGTCTGTTACATCATTAATTTTATCCTTTGCTAAAACACATAATAGAATCTGAGTACAACAAATCTTTGAGAATTAGTTTTTAAAAATTAACTGCCCTCAGAGTAGTATTATTGCAGGATAAATATTGAAAGATATGTGGAAATTTTTTCTCTGCAATGCAGTTTTGTGCAAATTATTGGATAAACTTGGAAGAAAAAGGTAAAAAGTACAATGTGTTATTGAGTTGATACAACAAATATTTTTATTAAGAGAAGTTTTATATTCCTTAAATTAAAATTTGTATACCTGTCTGCTACCAGTTACCGTGAAAAATTCAAAGTTTTTCTCAAATGTTTTTTTACAGGAACTCCTGTTGAAAACATTCTTTTACCATAAAATGGTTACCAAAAGTTAAGTTAAACACCATGCACTCAATCCTTCAATCATCTAGATCTTATAAAGGACGAATATTGGTAAACTAGTGTGCTGATTTTTCTGTAAAAAAATTATGGTTGCGAAGACCAGTTACAATCATTTAAGAATCTACACACTAAATGATAAATATTTCCACTTTTTATGAGTATTTATGTCATATAATGTTTTTCTGTAGTAAGACGAGAAGGCTCTTTGCTAGATTTACCAAGCACATAGTCATTATGTCCACATATTCTAAATCTTTTCTTCCTTTTGCAAAGTCTGAACTGGTCATAAATAATGTCACTTGAAATCAACATAATATACCGTATTGAAGGATAGCAAAAAATATGTTTTCAAATTTATAAATCTGGCCTCATTCTTATGAAAATAATTTGTGTTCTTAAACAAGCTTTGATATATTATGTATTTCAAAACAGTAAGTTTCCATTAATCAAGGATGCCATAAAGTAATGACGTCATGTCCCTGCACACGCATCTTCCCACAACATGTTGTAAAACACAAGCTCAGAATTTCGTTGTCTTAATTGGATCAAACAAAAAGTTTTTTGATAAAAAAAATATGTGTCTGAAGATAATAGCAGTATGCCGAATTCATGCAATGCATCCATTATTACAAAAAATGCCTAGTGAAAGTAACTGGAAACTGACAGTAACTGGTCTTTGACCAGTAACATTTTTCCAGCAAAAATACCTTCAGTAATGAAATTAAAAATATAAATTTATCTTTCCCATTTAAAAAAAATTCTGTGAGATGTTTTGCAAGAATGTATGTATTAAATACTATAGTAAATAGTTGTCTTTGTAAGATTTTCAAAAGACTGTTGAATATTTTGAATCATTCTATTTATGATATTTTGTATTTGAATATCCATATAAAAATGTGGAATAGGTAGACTGCTTAGTATAAGAAGTAGTTTATTATTAAATGGAAATACATCTTGCATAATTTGGTACACATAAAACAAATTGTATTTAGAAACAAGCAACTAGTGCTTATATTACCATTTATTTGTCCAAGAGTAGACAACTTATTTCTGAATGATTAAATGTTAAGTATTTTAATGCTAATTTGTTATTGTTCTTTAATATTTTAATTTTAAAAACAATGTACAGGGGTGCATTTTTAGCGCACCTGGCCCAATGGGCCAAGTGAGCTTTTCTCATCACTTGGCGTCCGTTGTCGTCGTCGTCCGTCAACTTGAACAAAAATCTTCTCTGAAACTACTGGGCCAAATTTAACCAAACTTGGCCACAACCATCATTGGGCTATCAAGTTTAAAAAATGTGACGACCCCGCCTGCCAACCAACATGGCCGCCATGGCTAAAAAAAGAAAATAGGGGTAAAATACAGTTTTTTGCTTATATCTCTGAAACTAAAGCATTTAGAGTGAATCTGACATGGCGTTAAAATGTTCATCAGGATTAGATCGATCTGCCCTGAAATTTTCAGACGAATCAGACAACCGATTGTTGGGTTGCTGCCCCTGAATTAGTAATTTTAAGGAAATTTTGCAGTTTTTAGTTCTTATCTTGAATATTATTATAGACAGAGATAAACTGTAAGCAGCAATAATGTTTAGCAAAGTAAGATCTACAAATAAGTCAACGTGACCAAAATTGTCAATTGACCCCTTAAGAAGTTATTGCCCTTTAAAGTCAATTTTAAAAAAAAATCATAAATTTTTGTTATCTTTTACAAGAATCTTCTTCTCTGAAACTACACTGAGACAAGTTTAACCAAACTTGGCCACAATCATCATTAGGGTATTTAGTTTAAAAAATGTGTCCGATGACCCCACCTGCCAACCAACATGGCCGAAATGGCTAAAAATAGAACATAGGGGTAAAATGCAGTTTTTGGCTTACATCTCTGAAACTAAAGCAAAAGTATAATGGTTGCATTATTTCATGCATCAATTGTAAACAAAAATATCAGGTGAGCGACACAGGCTCCTTGGAGCCTCTAGTTTTTTTGTAATGAACAGATGTTGTGAATTTCTTTCTTTTTTGATTTTGATAAAGACATTTTATTATAGAATTATTGATTAGCCAAAGAGGATTTAATTGATTACAAAAGGTACACTAATTTTTATACAACGGCAAAAATTTGCGGTCGTATGACGTTGGCGTCGTCCGAAGACACATTGGTTTTCGCACTCTAACTTAAGTTTAAGTGAATGGATCTCTATGAAATTTTATCATAAGGTTCAATACCACAAAAGGAAGGTTGGGATTGAATTTGGGGGTTATGGTACCAACAGTTAAGGAATTAGGGGCCATAAAGGGGCAAAAAAATAAGCATTTTTGTAACTTCCAGACATAACTTGTGTGTTAGTGTATGGATCTCTCTGACAATGTACCACAAGATTCCATATCACAAAGGGAATGCTGGGATTGATTTTGGGGGTAATTGCCTCAAAATTTTAGGAATTAGGGGCAAAAAACAAGCATTTTTCTAGTTTCATGACAATAACTTGTGTGTAAGTGTATGGATCTTTCTGAAATTGTACTACAAGGTTTCATATCACAAAGGAAAAGCTGGAATTGAGTTTGGGGGTAATTGCCCAAAACGTTTAGGAAAGAGGGGCCAAAAAGGGGCCAAAAATAAGCATTTTTCTTGTTTCCAGACAATAACTTGTGTTCAAGTGTATGGATCTCTCTGAAATTGTACTGCAAGGTACCATACCACAAAGGGAAGGCTGGGATTGATTTTGGGGGTAATTGCCTCAAAATTTTAGGAATTAGGGGCCAAAAAAGAGGCAAAAAACAAGCATTTTTGTAGTTTCATGACAATAACTTGTGTGTAAGTGTATGGATCTTTCTGAAATTGTACTGCAAGTACAGTACCACAAAGGGAAGGCTGGGATTGATTTGGGGGTAATTGCCTCAAAATTTTAGGAATTAGGGACCAAAAAGAGGCAAAAAACAAGCATTTTTCTAGTTTCAGGACAATAACTTGTGTGTAAGTGTATGGATCTTTATGAAATTGTACTACAAGGTTCCATGTCGGAAAGGGAAAGCTGGGTTTGAGTTTGGGGGTAATTGCCATAAACGTTTAGGAATTTGGGGCCAAAAAGGGGCCAAAAAACAAGCATTTTTCAAGGTTCCAGACAATAACTTGTGTTCAAGTGTATGGATCTCTCTGAAATTGTACTGCAAGGTACCATACCACAAAGGGAAGGCTGGGATTGAGTTTGGAGGTGATGAACCATAAGGGGGTTTCTTTAAATTTTTCCATTTTAAATTGGTTATTTCTGATTTATGTATAAAAGCAAATAATAATGATATGGTTTGAATAGGTAAATTAAAAATGTTCAAGTTCTTAGACCACATTCATTCTGTGTCAGAAACCTATGCTGTGTCAAATATTTAATCACAATCCAAATTCAGTGCTGTATCAAGCTTGAATGTTGTGTCCATACTTGCCCCAACTGTTCAGGGTTCGACCTCTGCGGTCGTATCAAGCTGCACCCAGCGGAGCATTTTATTACCATTGGTAAAATAAATTTCTGATTACTTTTATAGTGCAAATGATACATGTACTTCATATTGGAAACTTTATTCTTATTTTATTAATTTTTTCAAAATTTTCATTTATTTAATTGCATCACTGTACATTATTGATATGTATAGAGGAAATTTTGGGTAAATGATCATTTTGCAAAAAAAAAGAAAAAAAAGAAAAGATGTAATAATGCTGATGTGAGTATGTATTTTTTCATTGTATTACAATAAGTTGGCTATATTATAATAATAAAAGAGTCAAAGGATTGGTATATCTGTCTGTTACTGGAAGTAACTTGGTTCCATTACTGATTTGCCATTTAACATATACTGGTATTCCCTTTTACCATATACTGGTTTTACCATTTACCATATACTGGTTTACCATTTACCATTTACTGGTTTTACATTTCTTATTTAGATTTTTCAATTTTTTTATTTCATGAATACAAATGTATTTTTAAAAACTTTCCAAATATACCTCAGTTGAAAGTAGTATTGCTGTTTTTTATGCCTAAGCCACTTAGCCTTGTCCATGTCTGTTCTTCAATCAAACAGACCATTCTTCACACTGATACGTCTAATGATCACTTACAGATCAAGTGTGTTCGCCTCAGCTGACAAACTAACAGATTTTTTGTTTCTTAATCAAGTCAAAATAAAAGATTCAGATAGACAAAAAAAAAGTGTATGAAAGTTTGAAAAAAATCTTTAAATAGAGAATGTAATGCGGCGTAAAGCAACCAACAATCAATTAAATAGAGAATGGAACAGGGAAGTGTAAAAAAAAACAACAACCTGGTCAAAGAGCAAGAAACAGCCTACTTGCCTTAGAACTTTTGAAAATGTATTTATACATTCAAACTCATAAATAAAAAATGACAATGTCATGACAAAAAATGAAAAATGGCAAAAAGGCAACAGTCTACAACACAAAACTAAAGACTGAGCAACACAAACACCACCAAAAACCGGGGGGGATCTCAGATGCTACAGAAGGTTAGCAGATCCTGCTCCACATGTGGGACTGGTCATGTTGCTCATTTATGTCCTTATTTAGTGAAGTCATTTGTGTACTTTCAGTGGTTATTGGAATATATTTGACTTTGCAGTATGACCCACTTGTTCCACTATTGATCCAAAGTTTATATTATGAGATTCTTGACTTATCAGGTATCTTGGTATCAGGTTAGTGATACAGGCCTTTTGAATCTACCAATTTTATGATTTTTTTTTATGGTCAGGCAAGACAATTTTTATGTTGATGCTTTCATTTTGTTAAGATTCATATCCAACTATTGGTATGCTTGATGCAGATTTTACTGAAAAAAAATGTGTATTATCCATCACTTCATATATGATTCAAAATTCCTTTATTTTTATCTCTTGATTAAAAATGATTTGGGCCTCTTTTGACAAGAATATCTCCTTAATATTGATGGGGAAGTTGGTATGAAGTATAGTATTTTCATTTTGATAATGATATTTTGATATTACTGTATGATAGTTCATTGTGTTAAATTTAGATGTTTTTTCAAAAATCGTGTTATTTATCAAATTCCATGTGTACATGTATGTTCATAAATCATTATTTTGTTGCAATATTAAATGCATGTTTAAGCATTTATTGGAATATTTTGTTTTTCCTTACTAACATGACTAAACAATGCTAAAGCTATATGAAAATAACACAGTGGGTAATGTTGTCCTGCAAGATAATGTTCTGTGCTGGTGATTGGGCCCTGATCATTGCAGGTGGGTCCTAATTCTGCACTGGTAGGTTTGTTAACATTGTTGCAGATTTAAAAAAATGAAAAATGGCAAAAAGACAACACCGAGCTAATTAAACATCTGTTCTGTTGCTTAATATTTATGCGACCGCATTTGTGTCGTCGTCCGAAGACACATTGGTTTCCAGACAATAACTTTAGTTTAAGTTAATGGATCTCTATGAAATTTTTTAAGAAGGTTCAATATCACAAAAGGAAAGTTAGGATTGATTTTGGGTATGATGGTCCCAACCGTTTAGGAATTAGGGGCCAAAAAGGGGCCGAAAACAAACATTTTTCTAGTTTCAGGATAATAACTTTATATATAAGTATTTCGATTGCTCTGAAATTGTACAACAATGTTTAATACCACAAGTAGAAGGTTGGGATTCATATTAGGGGTTATGGGGCAAATAGTTTAGGAATTAAGGGCTGCTAAAAGGGGCCAAAAACAACAATTTTTGTAGTTTCTGGACAATAACTTGTGTGTAAGTGTATGGATCTCTCTGATATTATACCATAAGGTTCCATATCACAAAGGGAAGGCTGGGATTGAGTTTGGGGGTAATTGCCTCAAACAAGTAGGAATTAGGGGCCAAAATAGGGCCAAAAACATGCATTATTCTAGTTTCCTAACAATAACTTGTGTTAGATGTGTATGGATCTCTCTGAAATTGTGCTACAAGGTTCCATACTACAAAGGAAAGAATTGGACTGAGTCTTGAGGTAATTGCTCCAAGGGGGGATTCCAAAAGTCGTGGGGGGGGGGGGGGTCCAATTTTTTGTAAGG